ATTTACAATGGTGAACGGCTAAAAGTGAAACTTAAATTTAAGAACAAACTGTAGAAGATAACAGAACGTAATCTTTTTTTTATTTTTTATTTTTTCTCTACAAGCTTTCAAACGAATTGTATGAGTTTGTTGTGTTTTCCAATCTGTCTCCCTCTCCTTGATTGAGAAATTTTTTATAAAGAGAAGCGATTATAGTAATGTTTGGTGAATTTCTGACATTATCAACAACATAATATATTACTGAACATACACAGGAAAAGGCCATCAATTAGGAGACTGATGTGGTCAACCCCACCAAATTGTAAACAAATAGTATTATTGTAGTGCATTTCAAGACTGTTTCAATGTTTTGATATCAATTATTGGTACGAAACCAAAAAACTTTTTTTTTTTACAAAGGAGGACAGCAGCCATGAAACAGTGGAAAAGACATATCTAAAGTAATGAAGAAGAAGAAGGAGAAGAAGAAGAATATATAGAAGGATTTATGTAACATTGTGTTACATATACAGAGAATTAGAGTTTGAAATTAGCAGCAACAATTATGGGTAACTTAATTTCCTCCTAACTATATATCCTGAGCATAGAAGTCGATTATCTCTTCGAGATTTAACTGGAACAAAGAGGAACAATCATTGTACATCAACCACAGCATATGTTCAAACAGCATGGCGTCCACATCCACAAAGATCACCTTTTTTTTCTTCCCATTTGCTCCACCAACATTCCCAACATCCTTCTTCATCGTGTCGATCAAGAGCCGGAATGGGCTCTCTTCTAACACTAAAGGGTCCACCAGAAACTCCCTCTTTTCCTTCCCCACCACCACCGTCACCTGCCTGTCCAACTCCTCCGTCAGAGGCCGGTAGCCTAGCCGTGAACCCGAGTATCGCCTTCTCAAGATTGAAACAGGCAAAACCAAGCAATCCATTGATGTTTTCCTTCAAGTGTAACGAGAAATACTAGGTTATGACTAATGAGAACGCAAGATGGATGGTTTTATATAAGAAAAGGGTAGTTGTAAAAGTTTGACGGAAGTGAAAAGTTGAAAAGGCCAACACAAACGTCTACACGGACGAGAGTAATTACAAGGAAAGCGAAGAGAGAGGATATACACATGTTGAATAGGCCAACACACCGTTGGTTGTGTAAAGAGGCATCTCCTGGGGTAGGAATTGATTGTGACTGCCCCAGTTGTGGGGCTGACACGCTACTTCACTTAATATTTTGGATATAAATCATGACGACGGTGAATTTTTTATATAATTGGTGCCATTGCTATCCCTATCTTCGGTTAAGGCTCCATTGGGAATATATGACTTGCAGCAACAAGGATTATGATTATTAACCCAATTTTCTTGGCTTCTTGGTTCAGAAGCCTCTTGAACTTTTATCAACACACTCTATCTTAAAGATACGTTTCAAGCGTTAGTTTAACAGCATGTAGTTGTCATGAACCAGCCTCCTCCGGTGATGAAACCCGACAGATGCGTAAGCCCGAAAGAAAACCCATCTTTGAAATGGTCTTATCTGCACAATCCAAGCAATAACCCTAACAGTCCGGAACTCTTGAGCATTATCTAACTGGCTAAGTTCCATCGAGCTTCCTGCGCCATGGTTCACACAGACAGATAACAGGACAGATCTAATGAAAATATGGTACAATGCATCCCACTTGGAATGTCAGAGACTCATGTGAGATTCAATTATCATATTCTGTAAAACGAGTTTACAACTGGAACCTAGCAGCGGCAATGGTGAGGTGTTTTTAGCTATCAGCAATAATTATGTTTCAATCAGGAGGAGAACCAATTTAAAGCTAATCCAGAATGGCCTTATCTAGCAGCGAAAATGGGAGTAAAAAAAAAGGGGGGAGTAAAATAATAATATAAGTAAAAGAAGAAGATCCTCCAGGAATTGTACTTGTTAATGCATCCTGGCATTTGATGTTGACTACCAACAGCTATATTAGAGCAGTTACAGAGTTGATGTCCAAAGAGTCAGTACTCTTCACATCTAAGCACCTTCATTGTTGAGTGTGGCGAGTCCAAAGTGGGTGGTACATCTGCATCCCGTTATTATGAATGGATGGAGCAGCACTACCATAAAGCGGCTGGACTCGACGGATTGGGCTACCACCATCACCGTTCTCATGAGAAGACTCACTTGAAGCCCCTTGAGAGGGAGTGCTACCTGATGTTCTCGGAGTAGCAAAATTCTGCATGTGGGCTGATGGTAGTGAAGAAGCTGCAGATACCGGAACGATTGAGTTTGAACTCTGTTTTTTCCCGTCAGCAATGAAGCTACCCACAATGACCTGACAGGGAATTGGAAAGACGGGTAACCATACAAGAGTGAAATATACTCAAGTCTTCATAAATCTAAATGCATCAGAAGGCCGAAAAAATTAGAAAAGCCAAAATACACTGTCTTAGATATCCACGAGGAAACTTCCAAGTAATAATAGCTTCTAGCTTTCTAGGACACAAAGTAGGTAAAAATTTCATCATAATATTATTGCAACACATATGAGAATCACAAAAACAGAAGGCTTTGTGATACCTGCACGGCTGAAGCTGCTGTTAACATCCCTGCAACTCCACCACCCAAAACTCTACCGTCTGATCCTGCCAAGGAAACACTTAAACTACCAACCCCACGACGATTACCATTGGTGTCAGAAACATGGAAGGAACCCGATAGAGAAATAATTTCAAATTGGCCCTGCAATAAAAATGCAGCCATGGTTATACATGAATTTAAAGAACTTAATTTACACTACCTTCATCCGGAGAAGTGGGACTTGAACATTAACTACATTGTAACCACAGAGACTAGCACACATCAGCTCCATAAGGAAAAAATAGACCCATGCAAGTTAAAATTTGGTTTAATGTTTTCAGCCAAATGAAAGCAGCACTTATGATGTAAACATTAGTTCATGTAAAACAATTATCAATTTTAGAGTCGTAACAATTTAAATGGACTACTTCTACAGTCTGGAGCTAGTAGATCAAAGACTCTTTATTCACAACTGCTACCAGACCTATAAGATAATAAAACTTAAATGTTTGGATCTTTTAAAGAACAACAAAAATACCTCATAGGTCACACTACCACCAGATGATGTGGGCTGGCGAAGTGTAACATTGCAAATGGCACCATTTGCAGATAAAATAAAAAATGAGCGTGGTCCTTGTTGAGAGAAAGCCCTAATCTTCTCCGCTATGTCCTGAAAATATAAGGGCACATCAAAGCAAGAATGGTTTATGAATAACTATCATCAAAGAGATCATCAAAGAGAAAGAAAGTTATCATCAAAGGGATCAATTTCAATGAACACCATTTCTCCACTTACTACCATCCTTTGCACTAGAGAATATACATAATAAAGTTCATAAAAAACAAATATGGGCAATGAGAAACAATTTCCATAACAGAGGAAAAAACATATAAGCATATAATTTTTGCTATAAGGTCTCTTCCACTAGCTTGGTCACAGAAAACTGGTTCACACATCACAAGAAATGGACATACAGAAAAGCCCCATCTCCTTCCCTGCATCATGTCATGGGGTCAAAATGTTAAAGAGATTGGCCCCACAATGATTGAGTTGCATCCAATAAGTTGAAAGATTCTCATAATTTTGGGATATTGGTTTTCACCAGCACATAACTCTGTTTTTAAATGGTTAAAAATCATAAAATTTTATAATGTTTAGTATGATCTAGAAACTTTTAAATTTAAATTGTTGTTAAAAGCATGTTCATTCTCAATTTGATTGATACCACTTGCAAAGTGCATTCTGTGCCACTATAACAAGTAAAAACCATGCAGTAAATGCGCCAAACTGAGTCTGATCAACAAACTTGAGTTAATATTAAGCTAAAATTTAAGAAAAAGGCTTCTGAGCAAGTTATTTACATATTGGCAATGCACACTAGAACAAACATATCAGCACGTCTAAATTGAAAAACATCCTTTAGGTCATGTGTTTGCTGCTTCTATAGCCATAATCATATTTTGAATCTAAAATTGTTGAAAAAAAAAAAAAAAAAACCAATACTTCACATTAAAACTCTAAAAAATGAAGAAACCAGAAAAGGGATTGCCACACAGTTTACATTGCCCCTAGTCAACTATTTAGGGCATAGGAAAATCCTATGATACCCACTACAGTAAAGTGTATCACAGTTTAATTGCCTTCAAATGTTTTTAGAAAACCAACACTTTCCAGGCGCTACTAAGAGGAAAAAGGGAGTAAATTTTCCATGTCAAAGAAAAAAAAAAATTAATTTTTAGAAGTTTAGATAATCTGTAAATATTAACTTTAAAGTTTGCTTAGCTTTCTCAATATTTTCAGTTCCAATCATTTCAATCCAGGAAAAAGCAGCTCCACACAAATTCAGTAATACATTCACAATAAAAAAGAAAAAACTCTCCAAAACTAGACCAGAAGAACTTAAAACAAAGCAAAGCAGATCACTTTAACATAGAAATTGAGGAAAAATACTCACTTCCCCTGCTTGCACTGTTATAACATGCGGCGTGAATCCCACTCCTCCAGTTCCTCCTGTGCACAATTAAAGCAAACAAGTTACTCAATCATACAATCATATGTGAATAAAATATATATAGGGTAAAAATAAATTTCTCAGTGATCACCTAGTGCATCCAATTGCCTCTTTCCTGATCCCGAAGGCCTTCCACGGTTCTTCTTGGCAGGAGGTTCGGAGGAGGCGGGGGTCGCAGCGCCGCCACTGCTCCCGAGGCCAACAGAGTCAACATGATTTGCGGAGGAGGATGGAATTGGAGGTGTGGTCGCCAACTGCAGGGCAGTGTTCCCATCGGCAGTGTACTTCCTGGGCCTCCCTCGCTTCTTCTTCGCCGTCGGGTCTGTATTATACCCCATCTGCGGCAATCCATCAAAGCTGGAAGAACTAAGTGAATCAAGCGGCTTTGGTTGCTGTATTGACTGCGGAATCAGGGAATGAAAAGGGAACCGCGCCGCGGAAGAGGGAATGGCGTGCGTGGGGTTGGGGGCGATCATGACGGAGTTGGTAGGGTAAGAGGAGGCGAGACCCATCATCATGGGTTGCGGTGGTCGTACCAGTAGTGATGGCCCGGGCGGTGGCCCTGGCGGATGGTGCACTTCTCTAGAGTCCATTACCAACAACAAACCCTTTATGGGTATTCCTTATTCCTTGTTCCGATCCTCAGAACCCAATTGACCGGAAAATGCAGAGCCCCCGAAGTTGTCGATTCCGTAAGAGAGTTTTGAGGGAATTGCGTAGTTATCTACATCAAACCGAGGAAGAAAGAGTACAGAATAACCACAACAGCTGTGGAGAGAAAACCGGAGCCGAAATGGGTAAAATATATAGATTAAAAGTAGGGTTTTTGGATTTGTTTGTTAGGGTTTTAAGTTCTGGCAGGAGAAGCAGCCGCAGCACCATTCATTTGGACACTACTGCAACTGTACTCAAAGTTCAATGCAAATTCTCTTTTTCTACTTTCATAATAAGAACTCCTTATATACTTAACTTATATAGTATTTATTTATAAAAAAAATGTATATTCATTTAGAAAATTTTCAAATTAAATTAATATTTCTGCTTTCCATTTTGTTTTATTGTCTTTGTTTTAATAATTAATTGGATAGGAAGCACTTGACCTTCTGATCAATTAACATCCTATCAACTTGAAATGCATTTCTCCTCTTTTATGGACGAGTTTCGAGCCCACTCCTTGATAATTTGTTCAAAAAATTAACTGGATAGGAAGAAGGGAAGATTTGAGATTCATAAATTGAAGAAACCATGATAGATATTGGATTCCATTCCACTTATATTTATTAGATTATATACATAAAAGGTAAAATTTCCATTTTCAACTTTGATAATAACACTATACCAATGTGAACTATGAAGAGAAGTCCTTATCCTTTGCCCCATTGAATTTTCGAGTTGGTGTATAAATAATTACAAACAAACAAAAAATAAATAAATAAATAGGAGATTATGACAATGTTTTAGGATAGAGGGAAATAAACAATGGATATCTTTTCATACAAATGAGAGTTAGAGACTCATATGAAATGGGTTTCATCAAGTTAGATTATGGTATGGGGGTAAAATCTTGTGTCATCTTTGACAGACAAATAAACAACGGTCTCCAATATATTTTAACTAATGGTTTTTTTAACTTATAAATATAAAATAATAATAAATGAGATTAAAATTTGTGACTAACAACGTATTATAAATCACATCATTTACAATATTAAAAATAAATTTTATATTATTTAATAGTTATTTTTTTAAATATTTATAATATTATATATATCAAGTAATTTAATAATATAACTTCTGTCATATTATTAATTTAAAATTTTTATTCTCTCTATCATTATTCATAAATATATCACTCGTAAATATATTGTTTAACAATTAACTTGTATGAAAAATATAAATATTCACTCTAATTTAATTAATCTATTAATTAAAATAGTACATATGACAATTGTATAAAAATAAAATTTAATTATCAACGACTTAAATAACTCAGTGATAATCTTTTTTCACAGAAAATAAGAGGTTCTAAGTTCGAATTGCATAACATACGAGTGGGGTAAGATAAATAACGAGAGATGATGTCTCTCGTTGTGCAACCAACATGAACAAAAAAAAAAATTAATTTTTATATTTTTATATAAATTAATTATAAAAAGATATTTATTATGCCATTAAAACACAAATTAGATAAACGGTAAAATAAAGGCTGATTGTTCAATAAAGTTACTAATTTGCATTCAAGTATTTCTTGCTGTGCAGCACCTTTAAAAGTTGTTTCACTCCGTCAAAGAAGAACAAAAAGCTGTTTTCCTAACTTTTGAAAGAAAAGGCAAAAGACTATATGAACATAGAAAATTGCGATCCAGCTGAAAGAGACCATCCTGCCTTTGACAGTCAAAAATTGAGGTGCATTTGGAACTTCACGGGAAACAAATTCATAATTGGGACAGCAATGAGAATTCCAAAACAGTGGATTTTCCTTGAAATTAGTTGAATCCAAGCTTCAATTACCATCATTCTCTCTGTTACCAACAGCACTATCATTACAACAAAACATGTGTGTCAAAGTAGAACAAATCATAGTGTTATAAAACCCCAAAAAAAAAAAAAGTTCCTGTTTTTTCATTTCTGAAAAGGGGGCTAGCCTTTACAAAGAAAACAATACCAACCAAATATTCACTTCAAAATAATTATATCAGCAAAACTTCTTGATGACCAACACGAAGAAACCTAATAATTCAATAAACTGGAACACAATTTGCATGCTTCGAGGGTAATGGAGGCCCATTCACGTTGTCCGGAAAGTAAAACACATACCATGATTTGATTCTGCTTAGCTATTTAGCCAGCTTGTAAACTCACAATGCTACCCAAGTTCACTGAGTCTCCCAGGAGCAATACCATGATCCTAGCACCTAATTTCATATGAACCAGCCTTAGTAATATACCGAACCCACTCAACTGTGTTGTACCCACTCTTCTCCCACACCTGCGAAACATGAAAGACGTCAGAAAAGCAACTATTTAATCAGCCAAATAGAAGCATTCCAAATATATACCTTAAGGAAACGAACTCGTAGACCAGATGCGGTAAACATGGGAACCTGAAAAAAAGCAGGAAATTCAATTGGTTATTATTTATAACGCTGCCAGCCAGCATCATTTAATAATGAAATTGGTTAGATAAAATGAAATTAATAGCACAATATTTACATTTTCACACTACCAATGGATTAATTTCAAGCACATCAGATTCCTTTGCTCTTTTTTTCCCATGAAAAGGGATGGGGTGATGGGGTGGCTATAAAGGGTTTTTCATAACAAATAAATTGAGTAGAAAGTGATTGATCAGGAACCTGAAACTCCATTTGAATTGGTGGCCTTGTCGAAGACTTCTTTTCTATCATTGTGGAAATTAATTCAACTTCTGCACTCAAGGTTGGCTCAGTTTGGCCTGGAAATTTTCTTATCCTAAAAACAAGGCAGCCAATTAATCAGCATAGAATTGGGATGAAGAATGATAACCTTGCTTATAAAATGTGCAATATAGAGATTAAATGAAAAGTAAGAAATGAATATCACAGAAATAAACAAATTAAAATACTCACTTCCAGACCAAACAATCAATAGCGGCATTATACTTTGCTCGACCTGATGTCACTTGGAAACTAGTTTTTGCCGTTTGTTTTGGTACGGGAATTTTGATGACAACTCCAAGAGCAAACATCTTAGCTCCAAAGACACTTTTTACCTGTCAAATTACCAAAAATAAGACAACAGCAGAACTAAGAAATTTCAAGGACGACTCCAAAATCTGAGATTGCACACCTTAACATTTACTTCCATGCGTGTTCGACCAAGTTCCTTGATTGTTGGCAACACCCGGAAGGGAAGATTAACACCTTCAGTTATACGATACCTACAATATCAAATAGGTTAGGGGGGAAAATAGAACTGAGGAACCTAACAACAAGACAAAATCTGAGAGAAGAGTCCATTGCTTACTTCATCAATTCGAATTCACCATCTGGTGGAACAAAACTAACAGTCTTCTCTGAATTAAATCTTGTCAAGTTTACACATTGATGGAAAGTAACATCATCAAGCTCAATGGTTTTGCCACTGCAAAGATGGTTAGCTTTCTATGAGAACTAAACAATTATTATATAGAGACCAACATGCATTCTGCTTGTTCATCTTACCAACAACATGTAGAAAAGCAGAAGAGAAAGAAAGAACTACCGTAAAAAATATAAGTTTTGGTAATATCATTTAAAAGAAGAGAATGTCATTTCAATAACTTTTTAAAGTTCTGGGGCCAAGGAGGCAGTCTCTGATTACTAAACAAGACTGAGCAAGTAAACAAGATAAGACATTATAAGAGTAACCTTTTAGCAGGGCGGGATTTCATTTGTGACTCTTTCTCAAGTCCGATTTTATCATTCAAACCCAACTTCAGATCAGGCATTCCAGAAAGAAAACACTTCATAAGAATCTTCCCAGTTACATCACAACGAAGAACACTACCTGTAATCACCAAATTATTTACATGGAGCTGAGTACATCAGTTCACTTAAACAAACCATTCCAAAAAGCCAAAAGAACCAGTACTCACCTTTCGATGACATTAGAAGGTTTACACTTTCCACAATGTCCAGAAACACCTGCACCAAAAGAATATTACAGTCCAGCAAAATGGCCATATGCAATACCAAAGAGAGATGAAGAATATTGAGATCACCTCGTTCTTTTTATAAACAAGACCCTCTCTGCGCCAGCCAACAGCACCTGTAACTTGTAATGTTGCATTGGGGACAGGCTTGTCAGAAGGCTATTCATGTTTTGCAAATAGAAAAAAGCAAATTGTCAGTGCAAATGGAACTTAGCACAGATCAAAGAACTTAATTTCACATTTTTCTTAGAGTAGTATGGACCTACAAGCATTGATTCTTCAGAATATCACATCCTACATGGAATGGACTAACCTTGGATGAAAATGGGGAGCGCACTCCTTCTTGAGTAATGTAGAGTTTTAGAATCTCAGGAGAGAGATTTTGTGGGTAACCAAAGTCCATGATTTCTGCAATAGCAATTCAGAAATCACCAGTTATTCAACTAGATAGTTTGTATCACTCACACACAACATCAAAAAATAGTGTCCACAAATCATTTGCCCTAAAAGAAAAATAACATGCGTCTCCAAGGAGACTCACTCAAATTCCTTTAAATTGCATACCATCTAATAGTTCATATATCAGAACAAAGTTGTTACGAATAGCATCTTCATCAAAAGACCCCCCAAAATAAGATTTGAAGAGAGCAACAGCCTGCATACAGAAGAATAACCAACAATATCAGCTACAGAAAGAATAAATATTACCATGGGATATTGGAGATGCATAATTGCCTTTCCTTATTCTGGTAGGTATTTTGCAGGGATGCAAGGAAAATAGACGTTGGAATATCAATTGTTGAAAAAAGTTCAAATATTGATAATGGCATCCATGAGAAATGAGATTTACTTAAAAATGCAACATTGGATATGACACCCCTCAAGTGAAAAATCATTTTCCTCCATAACATAGCATAAGAGTAGGAAACCATAGAGTATAAAGCAAGAATCTTTAGTACCTCAACAACAAACTTGAAAGCACAAGCTACATTAGCATTGCTGCTGACAACAATCACGATATAAACATTGCTGATTCTCATGTAAAAGAAAGAGCAACCTCCAATCTGTCGCACAGGACATGTACCAAGCTCTTTTGTTTGCATTATATGCGTACGAAAGGCATCAACCATATTTCCCCTGAATAAAATACATATGCTCAAATAGATAAAGACTTTGAAATCTAAAGAAACAACAAAACCAGAAAAAATAACGAAGAATATCAAAAAGCCCAGTCACAGGCATGAGCAAGAAAGAATTAATTAGTATCATCAATACAAGAAATGAGATAAGCATGAGTATCACTCTAATATATGAAGAGAATGACCAGCTACAGTATAATATGGATAACCCACAACAACCCTTTTCTTCCTAATGCTAAACTAGTTATCTAAACCTAGACAGATTGACACACAACACTAGATGCCCCAGCTTCAAAAATCTTCAGCTTACTTGAAAGAAAATTATAAAAGAGAACGATACAATGCCAAGCCCAGATAACCCCATGCGTAATATACAGTTGATGTTCCAAAATCCAACTCATTTTTCACTAATTTTCAAGCTCAAACACAAAATATTTACACCTAAACAAATTTCAACGTATGACATCCTCAAATCTATTGATGCATAATACGAAATACTGAGCGTTGTTCGAAGGGATGTATAAAGATATCAGCTACGATAAACTAGTCTCTTAATCTTGGACAGACACAAATGTTGGTCAATAGGATTCATAATTCCAAATAATTGAGTATATAGGACTAGGGAGTACCCGACATCGTCGCGATAAAGGCGATTAATGAGGACATCGCCGCGAAGATTCAAGAAGTAGATGGCGGAAGCAGCCACCGGCATCTCGAATCGGACGGATCAAGTCCCGAATCAGAGCAACTGAATCGACCGGAAAACCTTAGGGTCAACGGTGGATTGGTGCAAGTGGGAGTCCAGATCTGTAGAAGCAAGGCGCTGATTCGATTGCTGTTCGGTGATTAATTACGCAGTCTGTGAAGAAGAAAGTCGAGGTGGAAAGCTTAAAAGAGATGATGGAAATGGAAGAGTCAGCTGCCAGTTAGTTTTTATTTTTTTTAATCTTTTCTTGTTTCCTTTTTTTTTTAAGGAGATAGAATAGATACTTTAAAAATTTTTTTTTTTTTATAATCTTAGTTGTGCAGTTTTGCCAACCATCTCCTATCATTTATTTCATTTTACTTGCACATTATATAATTTTAAATATAATTATTAAATTATTTAAATAATTAACAATTAATTTTGTATATATTAATAAATTTTTTTAAAAATATATATTAAATATATAATTTACTTTATAAATTTATTTAAATATTTTCAATAAATTTATTTTTTATATTATTTTATTAAAAATATTTAAATAAATTTATAAAATAAATTTTATTTTTAATATATAATTTGGTTTTGAAAATTTAAATCCCTACTCAAAATAATAGAAGTTTCTTGTTATGCCTAGCAGCATTTAACAGCAAAATATAAATGGTTGGTTATAAAAATTTAATTCAGTAGATGTTTTATAATTAAAAATTAAAAATTTTGTATTGTGAATAATTAATTCTCTAACATTAAAAAAAAAACAATTTGTAAAATATTCTAAAATCCATACTTATACAACGAAAAATCAAATACAATTAACATAAACAAATTAATTATCAAATACAGAAACTATCAATAATATATAAAGAATATGATATAAAACATAGACAACCAAAACAAAAATGATTTTCCACCGGTTTTTATTTTTTTAAAGTAAAAACAGAAGAAAAATAACTGATTTAATGAAAAAAAAAAAAAAGAATAGCAGAAAAATCCAAAAACCAATGTGATACCAAATAGATCTTAAGTTTCAAATGAGATTAGAAGAATATACCTGTCATGTAGTTAAAGGTAGATTTGCCAAGGAAAATAATGCAATCCCCGCCAATCTTGACAACCAGAACCTCAAAATCATGGCAACATAACAAGTAGACAATCCCAGTATCACCTTCGAGGAAATGACTCCTTCAATTGAGACTAACATGTTGCTAAACTGGTAGATTGGTCCATTGCATTTCTACAACCAAACTTCATAAAATCTAACACTTGCTAAATATGTGATAGCATTTTTTTTTTTTTTTGTACTAATCCCTCGGTATCTAAAAGTTATATTGGACTTTGATTAATATAGAGTCGAGTCAGGTCGGACCCATATGGAGGAAGTTCTCCCAACACTTGTTTTTTTATTCATAAGATTCGAATTCGATATTTTACTTAAAGGAAACTGAGCTCTTTTCACTCAGATCAATAGGTCGTTGATAAATATGTGATAGCAAAGAATAGAACATGTGCACTTCCACTATCTACAAACATCCCTTTTACGATGAAGTTATCAATCTACATTATATAAACCAGTAGATTTTTTCTAAAGACTTTTTATCCATTGAGTACTATATCATCTCTTAAACTTAGATTATCATATCTTATACCACGTGGTGAGTGGTGAAATTACTCAACGTGCATATTATCCCTTGAGTTGTTATTTGTCTCATATCTTGAACTTTGAATATTAGAACTTATGTCATGGCGTGACATAACTTATGATGTTTGTTGAGAGTGTTCAAAGTGTGTGTCATGAAGTGACAAATTTGTGTAAACCTAAATATGAAACAAATTCCAATCCGCAAATTGAATTATACAATTTATGAAAAAAGAATATAAAAGAAAAACAAAAATGAAAATGAGATCTTGAGTAATAATAATGCTTTGGATCAAAAGACCCATCTGGCTCATTTAGATTATTAAGAAGGAAGCGGAGAGGATAAAAAATGAAAAATCACAATAAAAGGTACAAACGTTATTTAGATTGAGCCAAATGTAATTTACTGCCCTGTCTATGCATTTGTCTGTCCTACATTGTAAGGTGAACAAATGAACTTACATGCAGAATTGAAGCAAACAAAAAAGAATTAAAAAAAGAAAAAAAGAAAAAAAAGGACCCTCCCTGAGAGCTTAATTCTATGGAACAATCTACTGGTTTATACTAGACCAAAAACTTTAACGCAAAACAATGTTTGTATGTTGTGGGAGTACACTTGTTATTCTTTCTACCACATATTGTTAAGTTTGAGACTTGCTGAAATTCGGTTATAAAGAGACTATGAACGAATCAACAATTTAGACAAACATGCCAACCCCATGTCAGGGTATCTCCTCATAGAGAACACGGAAACACCACTTAGTCAAGTTGCCACAATGAGGTGCCCATCAAGATTATTGGCATCGCTCACAACATTCTCCTTGGCATGCCTTGCCCAAACTCCATAAAAGGTATATTTTTCGTCACCCCATTTGGAACTTTCATCTCCAACTCATAATATGATAGGAGTCGGAAACTTAAAAGAGATTTATTTGGTATCACCATAAACCTAGCTTTACTAAAATTCAAAAAAAAAAATTTTCAAAATAAAATTAAAACAACAAAGGGGAAATTAACATGGCAAAACTCTCAAATCCAACCTGACACATTCACCCTTAAAAAATAACAAAGATAATTTGTCCATTCAAATAATAAATCAATATAAATCACCTCTTTTTCAACGAAAAACGTCAAAATTCTATTTGTCATATCAGCATTTTTTAATGAAAAATATTGAAAAATGGGTGATTTGTATTGATTTATGATTTGGAGAGGCAATTTATCCCTGCTTTTTTTTTAGGGGTGAATGTCTCCCTACCGACATTTTTTTAGGGTTCTGCCAATTAAAACTGAAATTGAAATGTAAAATCCAAATTTTCAGAAAAATATAACACATTCCATGAGAACTTAATTGAAATTTGACAGCCAAAAAAAGAGTAATTGAAATTCATTCCAAAAAGAGACAGAAAATGACGTAAAAACAGTTAAAAGATTAGCATAATGTGCCTGAAAGTATGTTTACAAGAAAACGCTACCGTTATTTAATCCATATTTCATTACTACTTGTTTAATAATCATTTATAATATTTACTAGTATATATTTATTAATAAAATATAATTTCTTTGATATAGTATTTACTAGTAGTTTAATTTTTTACATTATACAACCATATCTTGTAGTAGTATTAAATAAATCATTTTAATAAGAACAGATAGAAAAATATCCTATCATTAAAAATCCTAAAATCTATAATTATACAACGAAAAATCAAATACAATTAACATAAACAAATTAATTATCAAATACAAAAAATATCAATAATATATAAAGAATATGATATAAAACAT